GCAAAAACTATATCACTGTCCAAATAATGTTATTAGGTTGGATCGGTACGATATAAATGTATCTAATAATTTCATTTTCAAGTATAGTTGTACAAGTTCGAATACAAATGTAAGTTACCAGTATCATCCGCCGTTCGGCAGTGATAACAGCATTGTTTCTTGCTTTACTATATGTTTCAGTTGAGGCCAATAAAACATTCCTTTGATTCTTCGAAGAGGGTTTCGAATTCCTACCTGACCACCCACAGCGGAAGCATGAACCGCCGACGACAATTTTCTCTTCGGATCGGCGTTGCTTCCGATGTAAACTCGCGCTTTATACCTCAGTACACCATCCTGGCAAGCCTACAAAGGAAATGAGCCTTCAGAAATCAATCTGACAGGAATTATCTCCTGACTCCTCCTGCTCCATATCCACATGCATCAGCTTTCGATATGAATACTTTATTAAAAGCCAACACAAGATGCCTCACACATGGTTAACTTTCTAGGTTAGTTTGGAACTACTGTAATTGAATTTAATTATAATATTTAATTTGAATTTAATTAACAAGTAAGTTAAAGTTGCATGTTTGAAAAAGACAGAGTTCAATTCATTTTATTTTATATATTACTATCATTACATTTATCTTATTCTCCCAAATATCTCTTAAAAAAACAGATAAATGGATAGGTATTTTCATAAACTAATTTTAACTATTAATTTCTCTTATTTAGTGTAATAAATAAGAAGGGTTAACGTCTAATTTATTCTTGTATAATTTTTAAGAATTTAATTTTATTCAAAATTTAATTTTTAATATTTAAAAATGCATCAATTCCAACACAACTTCTAACATCAATTAATAGTTAACCTTTTCTTGAGCATTTAGATTGCTTAGCTTACAATCGTTTTTTTCTCAAAATATTCAGTATAATTTTGAGATGTGAAATATGGGATTTTTAGTTTAGAACAACTATTCATGTTTATATCCAGCTGTAATATCAATCTTAAAAAAGAAATGTGATTAACTAATTAAGCTCATCTAGCAAATCATTGATCAGTGGAATTAAAAACTTAATGTCATTTAACTATCTAAAATCAACACAAAGCCTCTAAACATTTCTTTTTAACAAGAAACACATGAAAGGCAAAAGAAGTTTTGTTTGGTTGGATAATATCATTCATAAATAAATTATAGGGTGTTTAAAAATATGATAGCAGTTTTTTTAAAGTATGTTTTATTTGAAAATATATTAAAATAATATTATTTTTTTATTTTTTTAAAATTATTTTTGATATCAACATATCAATACAATTTAAAAACATAAAAAAAATATTAATTTTGTTTTTCATATCAACATATCAATACAATTCAAAAACATAAAAAAAATATTAATTTTAAACAAAAAAAAATTCAAATATTTAAGAAACATGATGTCAAAGAACCAATTTATATTATTGGCAACTCAAGAGAAACGATTGCCTGCAATCATGTCATTTACTCTGATGTAATTATCTGTTGTTTGTAATTTATTCTAAGATAAAACTTAGTTTAAACAAATGTCCCACTTAAATTAGACTTTTATGATCAGTGAATATATACTATATAATCTTTTAATAATTCAGTAATGAAAATTCATTCATTGAAAACATATTAAATTCAAATCTTTTATGATGTCAGAGCCAAAAACCTCTCATAAGATAACAATTTCAATTTCAAGCATGTCTTCCCTGGTAGATCGAAGCTAAAATCTCAGCCCTAACACACAACTTTTTTCTGATTCTAATAAGCCTTTTATTACTCTAAATTTCACTATTGATATTAATGCCTCTTATTATTCTAAATTTCACTATCGATATTAATGAAAAACTAACTTCATCTATTTATATTAATTTGAAACACTATTTATTGATTATGATTTACTTTTTTTTTTATTTACGTGGGTGTTCAGGCCAGCTTACATGTACCACGACTAATCTCATGGCCCACTGAATATTCTGCAAGTTCAGTGAGTATGTAAGGCACCACGAGAATGACAGGTGTGTATAATAAAATTCAAATCTGAATATAAAGGAAGAGAATGACAGATGTATATAATAAAATTCAAATATAAATATAAAAGAAGAGAACAAGTCCCTCTACCATTATATCAACGGTGGTGCTTAATTATATCAAGTGCTAACACCTAAGTGCTTAATTATATCAACGGTGGCATTCCATGTTCCTCAATTAATGTTAATCAAGTCCCTCTCACCATTAAACTAACACCTAAGTGCTTAATTATATCAATGGTGGCATTCCATGTTCCTCAATTAATGTTAATCCCACTATCAACCTCAATAAAACACATTGAGTTAGACAACTCATTCTCAATGTCACCCTAGCCTCTACTACAACTCACAATCACTTCTCCTGTAGCTAAACTCTATACCCTATATGCTAGTCATTCCAAAACTAAAGATGTCGGGCAACTGAAGGAGGAATTTACATTAATTCAGCGTGGCAATAGATTAATTATCGACTATTTGCATGATGTGAAGACATTGGCAAATGAATTTGCCATTATCGACCATCCACTTTCAGATGATGATCTTATGCTCAACATCTTACATGAAGTAGGGGCCGATTTTAAAGAGATTGTTGCCCCTATTCATGCTCGAGAACTCCTTGACTTTTGAGGAATTGCATGATCTCTTGATAGGTCATGAAAGCTATCTACGTCACTTGGAAGCTGCAACACAACAGCTCATGGTCTTTGGTCTCTACAAATTGCACCAATCGAACGAAAAGAGGTTTAAATGACAGTTACTTTACATGGCACTTTAATAAACAAAATGGACAGCCCCACTCTCAAATTAATTCTCAGCAAGACAATCGTTGGGCCTCAAATGGATTAGGTTGGTCTAACAGATTCAATCATTGCTATCAACCTCGATGTTAAATCTGTGATCAGCTAGGACATATCGCAAAGACTTTTTTCTCAATTCAATTATAATACTGCAATAGTTAACCGTGCTCGGACATTCAATGCAATAGAAAAGCCTTGGCTTCTTGATTCAAGTGCTTCATGTAACATTACAAGTGATCTTGTAAAATCTATCTACACACTCAAGGTATAATGGCACTGATAAAGTGACTTTAGGTGATGGGGTTAAGGTTTGGAAATTTCTTACAATGGTTCTTCATCCTATCATTTTCTAATATATGATTAAAATTATTTTTTAATATACCTCCTTAAATAAAAATTTATTAGATTTAAAAATTATACAAACTCACACTATTTTATAATTAATTTTTATCAAATTAATAAAGATAATAAAACTTAATAAAACTTAAACTTGTAATCATTCAATCATTAAAACTTTAATATCATATCAATAAACCAATTACATCCAAGTGCTTAAGTTATTTGATGAGATCTAAATATAATTTATATTATTATTTAATATGTGATTTTTTTATAATTTATATTATTATTTAATATGTGATTTTTTTATAATTTATATTATTATTTAATATGTGATTTTTTTATAATTTATATTATTATTTAATATGTGATTTTTTTATAATTTATATTATTATTTAATATGTGATTTCAACTGCATTCTCGAGCACTATCTTTACCGCCAACCTCTCAAATCTCATCTTTCAAGACTATATGGTCTTGCATTCATAGGGTTGGCATCTGATAGCAATTGAATTCCATGATCATGTTTCCTAGCCGGAGGCAGCTGAGTATGTTTAGCAAACACAATAATTTATTCAGCTAACAAAGCACAAATCTCACGATGATGATGATAGGCTTTGATAACAGACTCCTCATGGCTTGTGATTAAGAAAAATTGAGCTCAAAATATACAAATCCTGTCTGTAAGGTTCTTGGAAACCTTATCTACTGACATCATTAGTAATTTCACCTCATCAGAAATGCCCTTCAACTCAATCATTCTTCCTTCTTTCTTAAGAGAAAGATTCATCTTAACAAAATCAAACATCGTCCCCCACCCTCATACCAGAATCAACTAAGTCGCCATCTCCATTTCCCTCATCCACGTCACCAAACACATCATTTCCCTCTTCCCGCGCTTTCATTGCATTCATCTCCCATACCCGAAACAACCTTACTCTTTCTAGCCGTGGACAAAGACTTGATTTAAAGAAGTAGGTTTCAAGACTTTAAGCTCTTTGAGTCCACTTATAAAGCTAGAGATGAAATAAGCCTTTGATAAGTAAGGATTAGCATCAAAATCATTAAAGATTAAGTTCTTCAAACTTTTTTATATAATCTTCAACATCCTTCTCCTGTGCAAGTTTGTTAAACTCCTCTACCACATCATTTCTGCTACCAAACCTTCTACATAATCTCACTCACAATCCCCTCCCAATTTTCAACATCACTCCCTACAACAAATCCTTAAAACCAAATTTCATCCTTTCCCTCTAAATACACAGAAGCAATCTCTACATATTAATTAGCGGAAATAAAATTCATCTTGAAATTTTTCTAGCACTTACATATCCACTCTAGGATTTTCACCATTAAAGAATTGAAGATTAATCCTTGGTACAGCAACATTATAAGCAGACCTGGTGGATTCAGGTAAGGACGAAGGATTCTCACCATCTTTTCATGGTGTGGGAATCAAGCCATCGCCTCAAGAACTGAATTTTGATTCCTGAACTGGTTCCTGCTATGCTTCCTATGCTTTAATCGTCATCATGATTGCTTCAAAATGCAACTGTCTGCTTCTTCAATTCCTCCATAGATTCTTGCAGAGATCATAATCTTTCAAATGGAAATCCAAAATGTCTGGTTGTCTCCTTGAAGACAAAAGTTATACACTGAAAGCCTACCTTATCATAGTTTACGGTCATAAAACAATGAGGGTTTTTTTTTTTTTTTCGTAATGAGAGAGGAATAAAGATTTAAAAAAATTCCCATGTTCCAAATAAAATAATATAAAAAATAGTAAAGATTAAAAAAAAAATGTATAATAGAAGTTCCACAATGACAACTATATGCGGAGAAGAAAATAGAAACCCTTCCCTTAACAAAATGGAAATTTCACAAACCAACCATTTAATTCGGTTTCTTGTACACAGTGCCGGACTGAGTCATGTAACTAATATAAACAAGCTGCTTCAAAATGAACAACGGATAGTAGGGAAATGTTGTAAGGAAAACATAAAAAGGAGGTATACACATTCTAATATACTCAATATTTTGAAGAGATTCAATAGCTTGTCCTAAAATGCTATCCATGTGGTGCCCACCTTTAAGAGTTTTGCAGCAGTTGCACGGAAGCAATATTATTATATATGACGTCTCCTGGTGCATTCCTTTTTGTGGCTTTTTTACTTCAGTATAAGTTTAATATCGTAAGGGTGAGGTATTTGTGAGAGAAAATACCAATTATTGCTATAACTATCAATCAGTAGATCAGACAGGAAAGGTTCCTGTCATCTGAATATGGTCAAGGGTTCTCCTGAGGCCATATTTCAGCACTGCCTGGTTACCTATCCTGAAACCTTCTCCATAAGCTGGCGAAGCATCTGACTCGATCTGGTGTTTGAAAAACTCACCAAGTTTCTTCTCAAAGTCAGATCGCGGCCCTTTCTTTGATGATGTGGAAGAAGATGATGACGGTGAAGATGAAGCAACTTCACCTCCTGAACTAGAATATATCTCAGAATCTAGCCACATATGAGCCAGGACCTGGCATATTCCTTCTTCGACCTCTGGACGTAGGTTGGGATAACCTGTCAAAGACAACTTTTGTACTTCTTAGCTGTCCATATGAAAGTAAATAAATAAAAATAAAGGAAATACTTGACAAGATCATGTATGTCATAGGATGGGCAAACCTTTAAGTCGAAGCCAAGCATGCATCATCTCATGAGCCAAAATTGAACCCGTCAACAACCTGTATGTATGGAATGTAAAGGATGCACACTTGAAAATTCTCAAATATCATGAATGATGATGAATTTGCTGAGTGATCGACACAAATAGATGATAATACCTGGGAAGGCCATACAGAATGAGAATTGCAGTTACTTCACACCTACGGCTTAGCCTATAAGGTTCTGTTCTTATGTCTATGAAACGGTATCCCGCCCCAATCCTTGGCCTCCTCAAAACCTGGTAATAGGGTCAAATAAATATACAATTTCAATCTATAAACAGACACCTTCAAGAAACCAAACACTAGCTTATGTAGGACTTGTGACAAGAAATTACAGTGGTAACAGTTTGTTCTTCCGACAAGCAGAGTCCTCTGGTTTCAGGTAAGTGATGATGACCCTGACCACGAAAATGTAAAAACTGAAAATAAAACCACACAAAAATATAACAAAACAAAAGGCTTAATTATTGATGGTCTCGATGCATCAGCCTTACATTCTTTTCTCCTTCCATAGCCTCATTCAGGGCTGGTCTCTCAACCAAAAGTAAAGGAATTTCCTGCACGACCTTCATATTTAAACCTTCATAAAATTCTCGAATTTCAAAGTAAAGAGGTTGGCATTCATGAGTATCCATTATTGCAGAGTCTAGACACTCCAGACATAGCTTCCTGCCATCATCAAGCGATATATATCTAGTGTCCCTCGGCTGCATGGCATGGGAAAAAATATTATTATAAAATTCAAACCATTTTTCAGAAAACTACAATTTACATTTTCTTTCTAAGCTTCTTTATCCCCTCCCTGCACTTTGGTTTTGGACAGCAGAAAGGTTGATTCAAATTCTTTCAACTGACCTCCATTCTCTCACAACTACAGCAACGAGGAGTCCTATCACGCTCATGTGAGGGACAGTATTTTTGTCGCCAGAAAGGATGAGCCCTATACTCAATGAGCCCAGCTGAATTTGTAGGAATCTGTACAAAAGGGAATGGGAAGAAAGAATTTAAGGTCACCATGAATAAAGGAAATATGATGGAATAGTAGTTAATTAACTCTTTTTCTTTCTTTCTTTTTTTGGCTGATTGTAGATGATATATCATTAAAATTAGAGAAAAAACATATCCTAAATCCCATTATCCCAGAAATGTTAGAATAAAAAATATGCTGTAGCCAGCTACTTTAGCAGACAGCAAAATGTATCACAATGCCGCATGGCAAATCCAAAGGTTAAATGACACTATCCACAAGGTTGGTCAATGACACAACATGCCGAGGCATCTGTCAGCCTATGAGCTTTATAAGCTAACACAAAATGCGCTCATAAATAATACAACAGGCAAATTGAGTTCTAATGGCAGCTGGAGAATACTAAACCGCAAAATTACTAGGATATTACTATCAATGTTCATTACCTGGGAAAAGAAATATGTGCACCTAGCACACCAACCCAACTTATTGAAGTCGAGATGATTTTTGTTCCATCTCAAAATATGCAAAACAATAAGGCATAAATTGACCCCTTCAAATTTGTTCACCTGTTCTTTATACATTACAGACCCAAATTCAACCGTACCTCTATTCTTTTTTTCAACAAAAATATCTGGTGTCAGGCTATTTCTTCGCTAGATGAGGTGCACAAATAATAGTGATTACTTAGTTTGAAAAGGTACGTATCAAAAGAAAGAATATCAGAGATAATTCCAGAGACTCTCTAATCATCATTTATTTATTTTGTATATACAACTAGCACATCCAATAGTTGAGCAAAAGGATTGCTGCATTTAGCAGCATCAGCTCAATTTTGACCAAAAAGGGCACCCTTCAACAACTTTACCAACAAAAGCTGATTCTTCTTTGGCTAACAAGATGGGTGCAATGAGAGTTTATGTAGTCCGGTTAGATTGCAACCTTAATCTGGTGTGCAATGGATTAGCTTCATTGTTCATCTACTCAACGAAGCCTTCATCCAATCGAATGTATTCAAGCACAATACTAAACCAGCAGAAGGTATTGTTGTGTTTCTGTCATATAAAAACTTACAAATTTGTTGCAAACATCGCATCTTGGATGATGCAGCTTCCTGTAACAAGACTTGTGATACGGACGATTCCCAGACATTGAAAACTATTACAAGAATGAATTTGAGGGTTAGTAAACATACACCAATCTCTTGATACTCAACCAAAATAAAAGACATTAGTTAAGAACTCATGATCACTGCCATCAATTACAGACAAAAGTATCAATTCACTAGAATAAGATTCAGACTTAAACCTCATAATCAATAATTGGCAGATTGCAAGCATTGCAACAAAAACAATCAGGATGCCAAACACCGCCCATGCAACTCAAAAACTGCCCATGCCCAATCTCAGTGTTGCACCCAGCACAGATCCTATGAGCAATAAATTTTCAACAATCAGATCAGATTTTCCATGTGGTGTCTCTGAACTGTGATAGGCCAGAACAATTTTAAAGAACAGGCAAGAGACATTGTATATGAAAGATATTAACATGCAATTTCACGTTATAAGAATATAAAGCACCCCCAATGTTTTCTTAACTAACTTCATTTTGTCTCTGTGATAGAAAGATGCAAGCTCAGATGTCTGGCTGACATAATAGAGACAACATAATATTCTACATGTTGATCCTGTAAATTAATGGTGTGTTTCATCTCATGTCACTGCACTTCGGTTATCATGACAACAAAACAATCACTTTACAGAAAGGATCTTCTAAGAGAAGGAATAAATATTCATCCTTTTGAAATCTGATTGGAATGCATGTTACATTATTTGAATGCAGAAAAATGGCTATTCCACACAACCACAGTTACCTGTAACCAGATGAAAATGGATAAGGTGGAACTAGATTTCCACTGTCATATTGTGCTCGAGGAGGAGACTCCAAACTTAAACTTTCTTGAATAGCTTTAGCAAGTTGCTCATCTTCTTCCAATTGAGCTGTCACATCCTCCTCTGGCTGGTGGGGCTTGTAATATTCCTCTGACTGTTCAGACTCATTATCTTCCTCTGGTTGAAATAAAGTTTTTTACTTGATAATTAAAGAATGAACTGGATAACAGCATGGGTGCATAACTGACACAATCTATCATCAGTATATACATATGAAAGGATGAATATTTCTGTCTTGGCTGACTATGAATTTTATGAATGAAACCAGTCACGGTTATTAAAGATGATGAGAACTGTATTATCATTTTTATGAAACCTTTAAAGTGATTTGTTGTCTGCGATGAAATCTTTTTATTTGTGTAAACTGTAGGCGTAATTGACCAAAACATCATCATATGAATTGTTGTCAAATTCAGCTTATATTGCCTGGTATAGAAATAAAATATGGTATGCAAAAGAACCTAATTAAACTATAACCATTTTGTTTCTCTTCATTTTGGTACTTCTATCTGATATCTTGTACAAAGTTGCTTGAAACATTGGGTCAACAGTCATGTTACACAGTCAATATAAGTTTTCAAATAAAAAATGGAAGTAACAACCTAATCAATTCTAACAGCTTTGCAACTTACCAATTACTTTTTTTCCTTTTTGATCTTCTTCAGAAAGGGAAAGTGCAATAGCACATTCGATTTCTTCATTGTCAAAATTCGATAAATCATCCTGCCTCAAGTTGTCCATGACATACAGTTAGCTCAGGGGAAAAAACAATTGAATAAACTTTTAAGAGAAAAGTGCCAGTATATAGTTTTGCAAGAAGATTACAACATCCCATCTTTTCACACAACATTTATACAACCAACCAGCTCCAGCCATAAAGACTAGGCTAGCATCATACCATGGACAAGCATAAGCAAAGGAGAACAATTATAAAAGTACAAAGAATGTGATTACCACTGATCGGCGAGGCTCATCCCAATACCTATCTCCTCCATATCTCCCAGGATAGTGCCCTCTACTGCTAGAACCTTCGAGAACCTTGGTCCACCAATCCATAGTGCAATAGGTTTTTCGGTAGCAGGCTGGTGAATTTTGGTCTTTTGAATAATTCATTATTAGATCAAGGGATAAGAAAGGATTTAAAGGAAAGAATTTGGGATAAGAAAGGAAATGAAGTAAGTATTCAATACATTACTTACAACAAACTCATTCATTATTCAATATACAATTATTACAAGTTCTTAGGACAATTGGGTGAAAATGAATATATCAATCAAAGAGATGAATAAATGAATATTATTTAACAGGGTAAATAAAAGGCTTGTAATAAGCAGGCGTCTGAAATGGTAGTAGCAACTTGGAGCATACGTCTCAGATGCCTTCGAATTTCAAAATTCAGAGGCAGCAATTCAACCGAGCATGGCAGGCATCAAGCTAAAGAGGAACTATAACTAAGCTCACCAAATGAATAAAAAGTTATCAATTAGATCAAGGGAACGAAAGGACGTCAATCCAATCAAGAGAAATGGGAATTCACGACAATAAATAGGTAATGCAGTATCACTCTCCATGATTACAAATTTTAGCCAAATTCATATATGATGTAATCATTCGTCCCTCATATTTCACCCCAACGCGCCCAGCATCAATACCATCAACAGAAAAAGAAATTTCAATTCTTCATGGATAAAGATCTCCAACCTCATCTTGCAATCATACGGAGATTACATGGCACAGCTGTCTATGCTATGTTGAAACAGTAAAACATAGGTTTCAGACAGAACTTCACCTGAAACAAATTAAGAATCTGGGGAAACAGTAGAATCTGATGAATCAAAGATCAGTTACAGAAACCAATTCCCATGAATACAGAATCATCAAAAAAGGAATCACATGACACAAAAAGCCATACTTTCCATCATCTCTTCAACAGCAACCAATCCTGAAAAAACAAAAAACACGTCAGACTTTTCACTTTGACAAAACAAAAGTAGTATTGCAATAGTGAAGATAATAACATTTCATAGAAAGAGCGAAAATAGAAAGAGAGAGACCCAAAGAAAGAAAAGTACTTGAATTGAATCCTACTCAAATCCAGGCTAAAGGGGAAGCAAAAAATGCCACTAGTGTAAACCTTCCTTCAAACTCGCAATTTTTATATGCGCTGAGAGAGAGAGAGAGAGAATCAAAGGCCCGGGGGGTGGCCGTAGAATTATTAACGACAACATTTTCTACTTTTTCAAGTGGGTCCTATAGCCATTTTCCACCACAATTCACAAAATGTCAAAGAACCCATATACCTTTCTTGTTGAAAAATTGACAAGGGACAGGAAGGAGGGGGGGGAGAGAGAAGGTGGTTCTGGTGACTGTTGTTCTTCGCTCTGAATGGACTAGTGAGCACTGTAGAAGAAGTGAATAGGCTGGTGTGTGTGCTAGTATACCAAAATATTTTTGTCAGTGATGAGTCAAGGTTATGGTGGGTGCTCTTTAGCCTTGTAACAGTGACATTAATAGCTTGCCTCATAAAATTTACCAGCCATGTTTTTCTTTTTTATTCTTGCAATTTTTTTTAATTTTTTGTAAGGGAGATTGATTTATTTTCAGATATTTGTTGCTTAGATTTATTTTTTTTAGTTGAATTTCACGATGAAAAATAGTTGTTTGGGAATGCCAACAAAAGGAGCTCCTGCAAATTTAAAATGTCTTAAAACATATCAACAACGTATTTCATTTGTAATCTTTCGTTTTAGTGTCTGTAAATTTAAAAGGTTATATCACTTATTTTTAAAAGTATTTTTTATTTAAAATATATTAAAATAATATTTTTTATTTTAAAAAAATTAACATCCAAATAATTTAAAAATACAAAAAAATTTCAGATACATTTTCCAAATGTAACAACTTTTAAAAATATTTTTTATTAAAAATATATTTAAATAATATTTTTTTTATTTTTTATAAATTTATTGTTAATATTAACCTATCAAATCAATTTATAAATATAAAAAATAATATTTAAATAAAATAAAATAAATCCTTTTAAAAACACGTGGCCAAACCACATTTCAATACACTTCCTTGGCCATAAATAACGCTCACTTAGATTAGACACCAAATTGTTCTCTTCCTTGTTATCACCATCACTTCAATTTGATAATAACTGCGCCATCTGAGAACAAGGCTCCAAATAGAGTTCTATAAAAATTTAATTTTTTTATTTAAAATAATTTTATATTTTTTATTATTTTTATATATTAATATTAAAAATAATTTTAAAAAATAAAAAATACATTTAAATACATTTCCAAATAAAAAATATTTTAAAAAATATCCTTACTATATTTTTAAATCAACAAAAATCATCAAGAATGATGGGTGTGAATTTCAGTGACATGGATGCTCCGTTTCAAGTGACAAGAAAGAAAGAAATTGACAAAGAGCCCTTATGTTTTCTCTGCTTTTTTCCCCTTCTTATATGAAAATATTATGTTTTATTTCTTATTATTTGTGGACAGAAAAGGAAAGAAAAACATATTGTTTATATTTTATATTATTAAAATTACGTTCTGAATGGCTGTGCTTTTCTCAGCCCAGTGCTGATATTTTATTTTTAATCCTTGAGCGAGCTTCAAACTCAGATTCATTACGTGAAGCTGTGCTTTCCATCTTCAATAAAAGGATTCGGAGGGCATTTGTGGGCTAAAAAACCGTAAGCTTTAGCTGTATTTAAAAGTGTAGAAATGATTTTTGTAAGTGTTTTTTATTGAAAAAATTATTTTTAATTGTATATTAAAATAATTTAAAAACACTAAAAAATTATTAATTTTAAGTAAAAATATAAAAATTAAAAATTAATTTTTTTTATAAATACTTTTAAAATATAAAAATAAACAGTATATAACATTCTCCCCTCCTCCCACCTTTGGATCTTGAGATCCACACCTCAAAATAATTCTGATGAGACAAGCTGCAAAAATCGCAGTTCATTATTAGGGCTGTTTTAAAGTGTAATTTCCTCAAGTATTTGTTATATTGAAATGTATTAAAATAATTATTTTATTTTTTAAAATTTATTTTAAAAATTAGTAGATTAAAGTAATTTAAAACATATAAAAATAATTAATTTTTAATAAAAAAATTTAATTTTTTTATAAACATGAATTGAGCTGCATTTGCCAACACTATCAAATTATCCAGAATCTTAACGTGGCCAAACATCATTCGCAACGGATAATGATTCGTGGATGCGTCAAAGGATTAGGTAATAAAAGCGACCACTCTCGGCGACTGTTTCTTTTGTTGCTTTCACAAGGTAGTGCCATGACCCTACCCTCCTTTGTCCCCATGCCTCGTGCTCTTTCCTTTGCACTAGGAGTAATGACGTAGTTGAAAACTTGATTCTTAAGGATTGAAAGAAAAATTAGGAAGGGTTAAATCAAAAGAGCTTAAGAAAAATCCTCGATGCTATAATCTCTAATAAGAGAGAAAGAGAATAAGCTTTTTTATTAAAACATCAAAGATTGTTTAAATACAAATTAAACAGTCTTATTTATATTAATCATGAGCTAAACTGAATAAAAGAACTTCTATTCTTAAATGAATTAAAAAAATAAAATTTATAAACTAAATAAGAAAATAAATACCTAAATAAATGCTCATGCATCATAAAATTTATAAACTAAATAAAAAAATAAATACCTAAATAAATGCTCATGCATCATTCACATTATATTAGAAAAAAACTCATCATTGAGTTCAAAATATTTTTGCTTTAATTTCATAGTTGCCTAATTAAAGCTTTGTAACTCTTTGCTCCTTCTTTGCTTCAAGCCTATAATAATGCTAAAATAAGCATGTTGAATTGGCTAGACCTCTAATAGAATAAAGTATGTAAAACCTTCTTAAGAAATATAAGTATAATTCAATAGTTGGATTTTAAGTTTATCAAACATTTTGTTTGACATTACTAAACTTATTTTTGGGCTTAGACTTATCTATATAATCCAAATACATATCTACCATGCTATCCATGTGATCCAAATATAATAAATTTATATTTAATTAATCAAAACCCTTTATATCAGTTTTTTTGGATAATAGTGAACTCACCTTCAATTTTTTTTATCATCCACTAGACAAATTGAACATTGAAAATATTAAAAATGTTCAAATGACTAGGAAGATAAAATCGATAAGCATTATAGTTGATCTCTTATAGCACCTTACAAAGATAAATTTTACTCTTCTAAAGTTTTTATACTCCCTCATAGAAAACCTATTATGAGAAAGCTTTGTTTACACCAAGCCACCTATTTTGAAAATGGCTTGCTTGATAATGATTATCTGTTTGTGTTTTGTATCCTGGTATAGTCATAAATTTTTTATCTGACCTAATCATATTCCATATGAAAGGTTGTTTGTCCTGTCTTTACCTTGGACACCCATATGTCTAACATAAAGAATAATTATCTTGAGCAAACCTCATAAATTATGTACACACACAATCTTAAAAAGTATTTAACCAATTAGTACGATTCCTTAACCTATTAAAACCAAAATCCATTTTTATTGAAGTCATATCTCATTACTTCAGATAATTTCCTACTAGATTCTATAATAGATTCTATAAGTTATGATTTATCACTCTTATATGTTCACCTCTATAAGGATAGTAGTCATTACTAACTTTCAGTTGAGTTTTCAATTCATCCTATGAAGTCTTCCAAAAATTTCCCATGAGTTTAATATCTTGGTCATAAGTAATGGATTTAGGAATTTATGCAAATGAACTGTTTTATTGAGGTAAAGATGGGTCATCCAAAAAAGTATAAAATTCTTATTCATTAAGTAGTATCAACAATGCTTTAATGAAAAAAATAATGGCATGGAACCCAAATCATGAACAAAATACTTCTTTTTAGAGTTCATCAACTTCTCACTAAAAAATTCATAAGATGCCCCTCTTGACTAAAAAAATTTTTAACTTCCAAACTTGAGGATCACTATTTATCTCAAAATGCTTATCAAAGTTAAGAAAAACTAGTATGAGAGCTACAATTATCTTCTATTTTACTAAAAGTTGGTCTCTAATTTTTTTTTAATTGGAAAGGACAGTCTTTGAGACACTCGATAATAGGTATAATCAATGCACTAAAATTACGGATGAACTACCTATAAAAATATGCTTGCTTATGGAAACTTCTGGCATCACGAATAATTTTATATGTGGTCCAATCTATAATTGTTGCCACCTTTGACTATTTACCTACACATTATCAACATATACTACAAATATTTAAAAAGTCATATTGTTAGTAAATAACATGCACTTTTTAATATTTTATTAATAATTATTCATACTTTAGAGTGTCATAAATAATTCATATATGTTCTAAGTGTGATTTCAGAAATAAGCTAAAATTAGAATATCATCAAAATAAAATACTAATAAGCCTATAAATACTCTTAAAATCTTGTGCATAAATTCCATGAAGGTACTAGGTGTATTGAACAACTTAAATATCATCACCATCTACTCATACAAATCATTTTATGTTTTAAAAGCTATCTTCAACTTACCATTAACCTTATTTGAATTTGATTCATAGCACTCAAATGAATGATGTCACAGTTCAATATATTAATAACATCAAAAATATAAAACTAGAATTGGGACTCTGACTTATAGTTTAAAGAATAATAGTTTTATTTTGATTGGTTATTCATTATTCTTTTGTATACATACCCTTGGTATTTTAATCTACAAAAAACTTGTTTAGTCCACCAAAAATCCTCTATTAGTTCTTCTAGTTTGTTGTTTTTGCATGGCTAGAGGTATCTAATAGGTTTAAAAAACAATCCATTATGATTATAAACAAAGCATGTCTTGTACAGACTTACATGATCCACTCAAGTATCATGTTACCAATTGCTCCTCCATTTATGACAGATCATTCCTAATTATTAGTTGATAAAACTCATTAGTATACTTGTTAACATGCTTTCCCCCTGCCTCAATATATAAAGTTGTTGGTATAGGTTTTGAGAGTAGTTAAAAGTGATGCTTTATTTTCTTCTTAATCTTTTCTCAATCATTAATTTTTGGTTATTCCTTATCTTTCGAAATTCTTCTTTACTTATTCCTACCAAAAAAAACTCTTGCCTTTAATCCAATGATGATCAG